GTATGAAATGACTCGGGAAGACATCCCCAACAACATATTTAAAAATAAAACAAATCGGAGAGGAAGTCGCTTTTATGCATAATTACCATAAATAATATTTTTTATATATGTACTGTAATATTAACTGTAAAAAAAGAAAAATATGTAGATACCCTTAGATGCATCAACAGTTTTGACTTTCTTTGCTGTATCAAGCGACAATTGAACGTTGTGACTTCGAAAATTGTTATCCTTATTGCCTACAAATTAATAATTTATTATCATATGTACTGTAATACTTAAGATATAATACTGTAATATTACATTTAGAAGAGTTGTAATATTAACGAAAACTAAATGAATAAGAAAATTGTCTCCATTGTAAACCAAACTTTGCTAGACATGTTATGAAAAGCATGTAACAAAGTACTTTCCAAAATTATAATTTATTATTTTTGTAACTTTCTACAAATATTTAAAAAAATTACTGCATAAAATAGACATACTTTCATACATTTCTATTTCAACAAAATAAAACAGTAAAAGCTAAAATTCTGGAATGAGAGAACATGTACAGAACATTTATTAACGGATGGTATTGCTACTTACGATAATTATTAATATTGTACTATTTATTTATTCATAACTCACCACGATTATTTCGAGCTGGCATGATAACTTCTTGAGTGTATGGAATATTAATTCGTTTTTTTACAGACACTGATTCAACTATATTACTTGTTGATTTCATTAATTTTGCAGGACAACTAAGAATATCGTTGCTATTATAATCCGAGTCATAAATACGTTTACAAATTATTAGCTTCTCATTATCTTCTGCAGATTTATTGTTTTGGATCGTAGTTTTCATTTCTTCACTTCCAAACTGTTTTTCTACTACATTAGATTCCTTTTTTGATTCATTTTCCGAAGCATTATCCTTATCTACAATGTTATCCGTTGTTATATTTCAAAATCTGATAAGTATTTTTTATGACGATCACTTCGGGTTCTTTTCATTCTCTCTTCATTTTCTACATCTGAAAACATTTCAGCATCCATTCTTTTCTGTAGAGCTTCATTGTAATCATCTGTAATAAGAAAAAAATTAGTTGTAAATAACGACGAAAGAGTGTAAGTCGCCAGTAGTTTATTATCAGTAGGAAGAATTGTTCAACGACGTTTGGCTGGCAGATGTCTTTATTAGTTTGATTCCAACGTTTCGACCATACGGATTGTGATCCTTTTCAAGGAAATAGATGTTCTACAAGTTTACAGGACATTGCAGTGTGGAAATTTTTATATCGCTCGCATTATGAATTTTTCTACTTACAAATAATAAATTAACAAAGATATATCAGAGGGACGGTCTACAATCCATCCTTTGTTTGGCGTCATTCGAAGAAAGGTGTTCGAAGGCACGTCAATCCGACATAACGACCAAAGTTGGACTGATGTCAAAGTGACGTAAACAAGATACAGAGAACGTGCTAATAAATAAATAACTAGACCAGAGTCGGAGTCAGAAAGATAAAATGGGAATAAATAACTAACACCTAAATAACTAGAATTTAAATTGAAGTTATGAAATAAATAATAAATAATAAATACTTTGGTAACTAAGTTGTGAATACGTAAAAGGAAATCGGAGTCAGACATATGAAGCCAGAATAAATGATTAAGAGATAAATAACTAGATATAAGTCGGGTTTTAAAATCAGAGTAAATAATAAATACTTTAAAACGTAAATTGTAAAATATAAATAATTTAAAACGTAAATTGTAAAATGTTAATTTAAGAAATGTATTAGGCTGTCATATGTCGTATTTAGGTTCTCGGTATCTTTTTGTAGATTTATAGTACCGTTTGTTTTCTTGATATAGAACATCTCCGCTATCTCCCTTTTTCGTAAATTTCTTTCTCTATGTAGTATTCGGGGATCCTGCCAATCAAAATCGTGGCCATATTCTACACGGTGTGTTGAAATGACAGAGAAATTGTTCGATGAGCCATTAACATTGCGTTGATGTTCCTTGACTCTGGTTTGTAAGTGTCGTTTGGTCTGTCCTATGTAGGAAGCATCACATTGATTGCACTCTAATTTATATACTAATTCAGTTTGTTTTTTGTTGTCAACCACGTCCTTTCCTCTTTTTATCACACAATCAAGTTTTTTAGGTATTTGATGTAGAACATGGTCATAATTTTGTCTGAGTATGCAATCAACATTTTCACTGAAGCCTTTAACGTATGGAGTCAGAATGTAGTTTCTATCAGAAGTTGTGGGTTCAGTTTCGATGTTTTCTTTCCCGTATGTGATTTCTTTGATTCGTTTATTAATGTGTTTAGTAATGAGCTCTTTGGGGAAACAGTTATTTAGGAGGATTTTTTCCACGATTTCAATGTTCGACTTGTGAAACCGTTTGTCTGACAAAAGAATGGCTTGATCAACTAAACTGATGATAGTGTTAGTTTTATATTTCAACGGATGGCTGGAGAAAAAATTGATGTATCTGCCAGAAAATGTAGGTTTTCGGTACCAATTTGTAATCAAGGTGTTGTTGATTATGTAGACTGTTGTGTTGAGGAAATTAATGGATCTATTAAACTCTGTTTCGTGTGTAAAGGATAGGCGTGGGTGATAGTTATTGAAAATTCTGATGACCTCAGGTATCTTTGATTGTGGCAGTACCATAAAAATATCGTCTACATATCTGAAGAAATAAGGAACTTCGAAATCAAGTAGGGACAGGCATTGCGTTTCCAAATCGTCCATTACAATGTCGGCTAAAATGGGAGATAGCGGGGATCCCATGGGACTGCCAAAAATCTGTTCATAGGGTTGTCCATCGAATGTAAAACATGTGCATTTTAAAATGAGGTCAATAGCGTATAAAAATTGGGCCAGGTTTAGCTTGGTATGTTCTCGAATGTGTTGCCACCTTTTTTCCAACCCCGTCATCACTAATTCTTTAGGAATGTTTGTGAAGAGAGCAGTTACGTCTAAAGATATGAGAACATTATTCGGATGGATTTGTTTATTGCTAATTAGTTTGGTGAATGCCCAGTTGTCTTTGATATGTGATTTAGGCTTTGGAATTGCTTTATTTAGGATATTGTGCATATGGCACGCGATGTTGTATAACGGGCTGCCTATTGTGGACACTATTATTCGTAATGGAAAGCCCTGTTTGTGAATTTTTGGCAGTCCGTAGCATCTCGGAATATTTCCGTTTGTACAATTTAAAAATCTGTATGTTCGTTCGTCGATGATGTCATTGTCACGCCAGGATTTTACAAGATCGTTCATTTTGTTTGAGATGCGTTTAATTGGATCATTATTTAATTTCTTGTATGTGTTCTGGTCTTGAAGGAGTTCTATCATTTGGTTTTTGTATTTATTTTTATTCATGATAACAGTAACTTGGCCTTTGTCTGCCTTAGTGACAAGGACATCATCGTTTTCGCGCAAGAATCGGTTACATTTAGCATATTCATTTAAGATGTGTTTGTCTAAAAAGTCCTGTTTTGTCACTCGGAGGAAATTATGGAGCGAATGAGCGATGCGGCTCCGTATGTCTGCTAACGCATTGTCTGTTATTTTATAAATATTCAATTCAACATTTTTTATTGTCTCAAGCACAAGTTTCTCACGATCGATACTGTTCCGATGATTGAAAGGTAAACCAAATTTGTCACCTAAACTCAATATATCCATAACATTTTTAGGGATTGTTTTGTCGCTATTGTTTATTATCCATTTGGAACGGTCATTATTAAAAAAGGAACTATAAGTAGGTTTTTGTTTCATTATTAAGAGATTAAACTTATTTATTGATTTTTCCTTAGCGACTTTGTTATGTCGGGTGAGTTTATTGTTATTAAATTTGAAGTAGTTAGCTAGCAAGTCACTTGGTAGTTTAAATTGTAGACGGTCTTCGATCCAAATTATGTTAGACCTCAATGATTTTAAATAGCAGTTAATGTCTTTAATTTCGAGGTTTAGTAGGATTTTTTGACTCCGGCATTTATGCGACTGAAACTTGCGCTTGACGAAGTAGTTAAAAAACGATAGGTTAAACTTCAAATTATACAGGGTGTCAGATTCGATATGGACAATCCCAAAGATTATAGTAGATTGGGTTAAACTGAGAAGAAAAGTTATATAAAATTTTACAAAATCGTAATTATTATCGGCCGAATTCAGAAAAAACAACGAAAGAGTGTAAGTCGCCAGTAGTTTATTATCAGTAGGAAGAATTGTTCAACGACGTTTGGCTGGCAGATGTCTTTATTAGTTGATTCCAACGTTTCGACCATACGGATTGTGGTCCTTTTCAAGGAAATAGATGTTCTACAAGTTTACAGGACATTGCAGTGTGGAAATTTTTATATCGCTCGCATTATGAATTTTTCTACTTACAAATAATAAATTAACAAAGATATATCAGAGGAACGGTCTACAATCCATCCTTTGTTTGGCGTCATTCGAAGAAAGGTGTTCGAAGGCACGTCAGTTAGTTGTAAATGTTTATGTTACAAACCATATTACATGTAGACTATTTTTCTATTAAATTCTTCAATTTAGATTGGTTGTTAGTATACTGTCAATACCTTCACATATATGTATAAATACAAACTGGACATTAGGGGAGACCCGGGGATTGTTGGTACAGTTTTAACAATTTCGGCATTCGACTTTTTAAGCAACTAATGATTAAACTGTACTAACATGATAGAGAGAACCTTTTTCTACATTTTCATGCCAGGAATGATCATGTATACTGTATAGTTTTTGTGTAGTATAGATGAATTACACGAACATGTAACATTGTAGCCAGCTTGCCCCGACAGTGGGGTAAATGGACATATACTATATCATGGTATAAGTTAGTTATACGACAAACTCCATGTTAAATTAATTAAAACGTAATAGAAATAAAAACAGATAGTAGGTATTTACTTCTTGATAATGATTGTATCTTTTAAAATTATTTTGTAATGTTCGAATAGCAAAATGCAGAAAAACAAATGTAAACTATTTTAGATGTGTATCTTACTTCGATATATAAATATTAAAAAGAAAGCGTTTTCTGGTCTCTTAAGATCCAACTTATGACGTCCGACTTAATTTGTCCACTTAAAATCAAAATTAACCGTCCTTTGCACGTCTTTTTGCTACCTAGGACTCTGATTTGTATAATCGCTTAATGCAAATTCTTATTTTATTGTATTTTATAACAAACTAATAATTTTACCATTTCGAAAGAGAATCTTTTCATAGGAAAAATCTTGCCAATTTTGTTGTGAATCTTCAAAATGCATAATAGCTTTCAATATTTGTTTGCTATCATTATATGGTGGCCATTTTGTTACTTTTTTTTCATCCACCCATGATGTTGGTACAATCTCGGGCGCCTCCGGCTCCGCAAATTTTAATACAGAAAACATTCTCAACTGAAAAGAAGATATAATTGTGCAATTTTAATATCATAAAATTATACGTTTATTACATAACTTATATAAATATAAAAATTCTTGTATTTATTTTTTCAAACAAATGTAAAAACAAGTACTCTATATTCCGAGTTTACTGTCATTTATTATTTATATATATATATATTTTTTTAAATACCTTTTCAGAGAGCTAGTAGAGAAAAATAAACTAATAATCACAATCAATAACTGCAGATAAGATGAAGACATATAAACATGATTGGCAAGTAATACAAAAAAAATTCCCCGTTTATTGTATTCTTTCATATCTTACATTGACAAATAACTTGAAAAGTATAAATTTCTTTTTTAATGATTAAAAGCACAAAATAAGAAAAGAGTAATTTCATCTAAGTTTTACAATACAGTTATACGTTACTTCATCTACGATAGATATAATACAATACATAAAAATACAGAGAAATCTGAGAAAGTAAGCTTGAGTAATGTATTAAACAAAATGAAATTGTACAATATAGTTTAATGAAATGTAGTATTTCAGATATGGTGGAAATAGGTCTTTTTTATGATGTTGTAAGACATAGTGCTGTAAGAATACTGCATGGCATATTTACATTAGCAAAAATTTTATTGTAATCAAATAAAAGAAATTGTTGGAAAAATGTGAAAAAAGTAAAGAATTCATTAAGACGATGATTACAATGATATACTGTTGTATTTCCATTTAATGTATTTGAATATGAAATACAGATTGTTTAAATGTTTCTTTTTTTAAACGTCCAAATATCACAAATCTTGATAAGTATGTAATATAGGAAAAACTGCTATACGATTTTTAAATGGTATCTTAAACATTTTTCTTAAAATACTATTACAATTCCACTCGCCTAATGGATAGTTCTTATTTTTCATAATTTTAATATCTAATAAATCGGACGATAATGGTTTATTATATAAGGCTTGCTGAGGTTCTAATTTTCTTCCTATTACAATTGCTTGAGAATCAGAAATTGCAAAACTGTGAACATTGATTACAGTTCCATCTTTAAGCATAACACAATCATTTTTATTGTCAGTACAATTAAGTGAATATTGAGACATCTTTAATATTTGAAATTGGACATTATATATTTTTGAGTTGACCGTAATAATATTCGTATAACGTTTTTCTAATCGAATAGAATTTTTATTTTGTAAGGAAAACATTTCGAAATCTGCATCACTACATTCTTGAAGCCTACGTGCAATTTGTTGTAAAGGATTTTCTCCCTTTTGTAGCATTTTTTAATTGTACAAATGTAGCTTTCAAATGGGAAAGAACTAAAGGAATCTAAGGTAACTTGAAAAAATTTTACTTCATCACATAAATGAATGAGATTGTGAACGTTATATGTAACATTTTTAGGGCCATAAATGTCTGCAAATTTTGTAATAAAAGTTCGTAAAACTTTCTGAGCTGATTTTATATTGTCATCTTCTTTTATTAATATATGTTCGCGACTCTCGTTTGGGAGAGCTCGCTGGACCGCTGCGGTTGGAAGCAGGGCTGAGAGGACTTTGCGGCGAGAGAATCGGGGAACGGATGTTCGCGTGAGAGGTTAGAAATCACGTGATCGTAACTCGAATCGATTGTGTAAAATACCGTGGTCCGTTTAATAAATGTAAAAGGCTTACAGTTTGAGCAGTCTAGGGTTTAATGGGGATGATCAGTCTCTTTGTCACTTGCACGGGTCGATTATATTAATCGATGACCGGCCTCGTGATTGGTGATGCCCGTGAGCCGTGTCCACGCGACGCCGGCGTGCGATGCGTGGTGAGCTTGAGCCGCCGGTGATGCTGTATCCCGAGCTGTCCTGGTTGAGTCACACTGCTGAGTTCACTACGTGTCCACACTGAGTCTATCCGTGATGAGGAAAGTCCACTATAGCACTTCAGAATCTTTAGCACTACACGACGCGTGTACTTCGTACCGTAGCCATGAGCGAAAAGGCCCCGGAAACGAGCGTGAAGAAGCGCCGTCGCCTCGCGTTGCGATCGGGCATGCGCGCGCAGCGCCCCTGTGGCGCTGCACGATCCGACCCGGCTGATGCTGCCATCACGCCGGTGACGAACAGACCGAGATTCATAATTGAATCCGGAACAATATAGGATCATTTAAAATTGTGATGGCTGTATGGAGCATTATGAAATGATCATAAACATGTGGAGCTAATTCATCTTTTAAAATTACAGGTCCACTATAAAGTAAAAAATGTCGAAACTCGGTGGCTTTCCAACGATGCCAATATGTTAATGCCCTAGAACGTTTTACAAAATCGTTTGGTAAAATTTTCAAAATATTTTCAAGTCGAATGGAAATATTACGTTTTTGTATACTTGAAAGTCGAACATGACGTGGTCCTTTAGTCATCCATAACATTATAAGACGTTTTACCACGCCAAGATACACAAGATGCATACTATCTAATGCTATATTCGATATTAGATTAAAATTAGGTATTTTAGTCAAAATGGTATTTCCATTCTGATATTCTTCGTATTCTAGATTCCTCAATTTTTCATCTTGCCTTAATGGATAAAATCTAGATGTCGGAAAACACAATCGATTTTCTTCATAATCACCTTCAATGGTGCATTTAGTACAGCTATGATACCCAGAATGATATTTGACGTTTAAAAGAAATGATTTTGCTGGAGAATCGCACACGAAAGCTCTGATTTTGATATTGTATACTTTTTCTTGTAATTTATAACCATTTTGAACAAGTTGAACTACTTCATCAATAAGAGGACTTAAATATTCGTTGACATTGTCAGGTTTACTGGTTCCATAATAAATACCTACAACTTTAACTCGTATTAATTTATTATCCATACATAGTATAGGCCATAAAACTTTTTCACTAGACAATCCTATAGGAGCACCATCAATATTAATAAGAAAGTTGTAACGGAGGCGACCGGGGAGGCGCGGCCGGAATCCGAAATTCCGGGAGCGAGAGAGAAAGAAATAGAGGCGCGGCTGTTAGAGAGAGACGGCGCTACCAGCTGTGGCTGGAAAATCGATAACGCGCGGTTGCCGCGTCGGCGGCAACCGGCAACGCCGCGCCTGCCCCCGCCGCCTCTCCCCGCGCACCTGCATCCGGGGGGTATAAAAGCCCCTCCGGAGCAGGCGCTTTAACTCAGTTTTGCCTCGGAGCTCCGAGCGACAACACCGGGCAGTGGGTACCTCCGCTGCAGGTATAAGCCGGAGTGAATGGGTGCTCCTGTCTTCGGCTATATACCGTTCCGGAGCACACAACGGAGGCTCTACTCCGTCGTGGGCCCCGTCCCGCAGTAGCGTACGCCTAACGGGGTGCTCCTCGGCGTACACATGCTACAAATCTTTCCCGTACCGGTCTCCTGAATCCGTACCGTCCTGACTCCGTTTCCCCTGTGACAGCGGGTACCGCCGCGGTTCGCGGGGAGGGAGTAATTCCACAGTAGCGTACACCTAACGGGGTGCTCCT